ACATCTGGCAGACTCTCTTCGTCATCCGAATGCTCGAAGCGCCCTTCGACTTCATTGGAACTTCCGAAATCAAAGTCCGTCCCTGAAGTCAGGATGGAGGCAGCCAGCGCACCCGAGAGCTGCGCTCCGCGCCGGGCCTCTCCTTTAGACATGAGCGGTAGCTGCGCCACCGCAGCTGGCGTACATGACGCCTGGCTCGAAGTGAGGGCAGTCCGCTGCAACACGCCCTGCTGATCCAGCTGTTCGACTGGTATATCGCTTGATGATACCGGATTGAGATGGACCCCAAGTCCGATCAGGCTGCTAAGCATCACCCTGATATATCTCCGGTAACAATCTGAGCTCCACCTTCCCCAGGCCATGATCTCATCATCACGGACCCCTTGGGCTTTCAGCGTAGTCGCTCCGCCTATTCGAAAGCTATGGGTTCCAAACTTCTTTGCGAGGTCGCTGCCCAATGCAGCTGCCAAGACCTTCTTAAAGAAGCCTGCAAACTCATTATACGTCATGGCTTTGCCTGTCTTTGGATTCTCGAAGAGTGGTTTCTTCGCTCGCTCCTCGGGGTTAAACACCCTGCGCTGAAGCTCCAGAATCGCTAAACCCAGACATGCGTTCGTCGTGCGACTTCCCGCGTAGTTCTTAAGCGGGAACTGCATTTCTGCGAACTTCTGCAATAGTCTATCCGTTTTCGTAGGTATCGCGTTGATCAAACAGAAATCATTATCACGCAACCAGCCTCCTGGCCTTACAAATTCTGCCGGGTCAAAAGGTTGGCCGTTAGCCCTATACCAGGCCACGTCAGCCATGTTAAAGGCTGTGTTCGGATTGAAGTCCTCTGCTCTCCGCTGGGTATACTCTCCGACCCGTAGGCCAAGATTGAACGCTACTTGAGCTGCTGTTAACCACGTGCGATGCCAAGGCTCGTTCCAGTCCAGCCCGGAGATCCTGAGGATCAATTCAAAATGAGCTGGAATAAAGGCTAGCTTCCCATGTCGCGGAGGCCTGCCCTTCTCCGCGATCCTCTGGACCTTGTAGGCCTCCCGTTGTGTATTGTACCACACTCGGTCAATTTGCACTGGCCGCTTGCACCTATCAAGTACCCACCCATTCACCCGCGACAAATAGAGATCTGCGGAAATGATCTCCTTGCCTCTCCCTTTCCCAGCCTCCATACGCGGCACCTTCCATGCCAGAAACATGATGTACAGCATAGTGTCGAACTCGATGAGATCCTGAGTAGTCGGCTCGTGCAACCTTATGGGATGCACTTTGAGCTCCTCGCAGAACTGCAGCCAGCTATCCTTGCCCTCTAGGATTGAACCGCGCGCTGAGATTGTGGCTCCGGATCTCAAGCACCTGGCCCTACTGGATATTGCTGCTGCCAGTCCCTGGACCTGAGGCATGCCCCTTGCCATCTCGGCCAACAGCGACGCATCCCGCTGCTCGTGGATTGACCCCACAAGTGGCATGCCCGTCTCCCACCTTGGGTCCCTGCCACCCAACTCGACCGAAACCGCGGGACCTAAGGACACCCAAATCGCCCCGGGCCACGTAGAAAAATATTGATGCGTCTCTCGCCCCCGGCGGAAAGCCATTAAACAAAGGGGGGGCAGAAAGAAAATTGTGTCCGTTTCAAATCACTCAAAAACAGGGGTGGACTAAGCCCCAAGAGAAATGCATCAATGGAAAACCCAAACCGTTGCCACATCCAACCCAACGGCTTGCGCCCGGACCTCCAGACGCGCGGTGCGCGCTGGGGGCTCCGCCCCCGGCCCGCCGCCCACCAGGGCCGCGGGCAGGTACTCAAAACATGACTGGGCAGGTCATGGCCAAAAGCCCGGGAAAACGAAACATGACGATTACCACCACCACCTCGCTGGTGCGGCGCCGCCCCTGAGGCGCCGACGCGCCATCCAGCCGCGCGCCGCCGCCTGGAAGTATCTGGCGCACATGTAATCCAATTCCTCCAACTCGGACTTCAGCTTTAGAGCGCGAGCGGTCTCCTGCCTCGACCTCGGCAGCAACGTACACGTCCCGGGGTCCCTTGCCCCCGGATGCAACCCCACTTGCTGCTTCCGCTACCGCCACGGCGGCAAGGCGACCTCCCCTTTCTTGGGAGCGGGGAGCTCCGCCCGGGTCAGCCACCACTGAACGACGGCCTTCAACGTCTGCTCTGCCTCCGAACCGCTGCACCGAATAGACCTGTCCTTCCAGAACAGGCTGTCGAGCTCCGGTTGCACGCCCCGCCGATGATCCCCTCACCAGCCTTGCAAGGCGCCTCCCTGCAGCCTGCAGGCACGGTGCCATCACGACGCCTCCAACTGCGCTGTGGCGAGTGCCCGCCCAGAGACCTCGTGCCGGTCCAGGATGTCGCGGTCCCACTGCCGCCTGTAGACCGTGCCCCGGCGCCCTTCGGCGACCACCCAGTGCATCCCCATCTCCCGATGCCATCTGGTCCGGAAACCGAAATCTATCGATGGCCAGCGATCCAGCCCGCCCACGTAGGCGCTCACGTTATACTTGAGCGACCACATGAGCCTGCCTAAATCAAAACAATTCCCAGAACAGGACAGGCGCACTGCCAAAAGCATGCGCTGTCCCTGGTGCGACCCGCCGAGATGCTGGATCAGCTCCTCGATTAAACACCTGGGCCATGCGTCCCCCGGTGAGCCGGGGACGAACGGGCGCCGGGGGATAAGCCTCGCCGGGCGCGCCGTCTATTCTGAAAACAGCCTGCCTCTCTGAGCATGCCAGCTCCTGATCGCGTACCACGCCTCGCGCCCCCCGGCATCTCCGTGCCAGTACCGGGTACGGTAGGACAACACCCGGTACGGATTGTATCCGAACTCGCGATGCCACCTGCACCGGAAGCCCGAGGGCCGGGCTGCCCACGATTTCCGCGCGCTCTCCGGAATATCCCTCCATGGCTAGAAAACGTCCGGCGGGTAGTCCTCCTCCGGTGCTATGTATGCCCACGGGTTTAGTCACGGATCCCACATGACACTGGCCAAATCAAACTGGTTCGCCCAGCATGTGGCTCGCAGCGCCAGCAGCATCTTCAGCCCCTAGAAAGAGCCGCACTGGGCGCGAACCCACAAGAAGCAACATTCTGGAAACCACCCCGGCATGAAAACGCGCAGTTCTGACGTGCCGCCCCGCTGCGCGGACTCCCCTGACAAAGGGTTTGCCCCGCCCATCAACCCGAAACCCGGAGGCACCGTTTCGATGGCGTACCGCGCAGGCGCCCGGGCCGCCGGGGCGTCCCGTGCCGCTATCCGCGGCATCTCGGGCGCACTGCCCGGTAGATGACCTCGCCGATCAGCATAATTCCGCTCAAACTCGGGCACCGTGAAAATTTCCTTGTGATGGAACAAATTTGCCACTGGGCCGCGTTGTCCATCATCAAGCTGACCTGCCACCGGGTAGGTCCCATCAAAGTTGCGCTGCCCGGTGACGACCCCCACGCCAAACACCTCATCCGTCAGCTTAATCCGCACGTCAGTTCCCTCGCCCATGCCCGGCGACGCCGCTATCCGCATCCTTGGCTGCGCCGCGGTCGCTGCCGGGGACGCCGGGGCGGCGGCCTCCCCCGGGGGATCCGTCTCCCCCCCCAGTTGTTGCGCCGGGCGCCGCGGCCGGGCTCGCCGCGCCCGCAGTTGTGCCCGTCGCTAAAGCATTAGACACTCCTGCCGGCGGTGCGCCCGCCGCCTGATTCCCTGACATTTATCCCCTCACTCCCCTCAAAAGAAGATTTTCCTGGGGTGCGCTCAGGCGCACAATAATAGAAGAGGATGTCAGCGACAGACGATACTCGTACTCGAGTACGAGATATATCTTCTGTCTCTCTCCTCTGTATCCTGAATATCCTGGCTGATATATCCTGGCGGCTATATCACCTGCACATATCACGTGCACAAGATACAAAAGAATTTCACTTTTTATAGCCGTACGGGGATGCGGGGTGCACGACTCTCCGACGTGACCACCTTCTTAGAAGCTGGGCTCCTAGAGACAACACAGTCTGTGCCGGAATTCCACGCGCACATAGACCTGTTAGAGGGCGCGCCCCTGCGGGCACCGCAGCACTTGCGAACACCAGTCTATTTGGAGAGCCACGGGCGACCCAGAGAATGGGACGCTGTGTGGTCGGCTGGGAACGAGGATATCGGGAAAAGAAGATCCACAAGCAAGGCACCATTCGCTCTGGTACAACATTACGCACCGAGGCTGAATTCTGAAGCAATGTTTAGTTCGATGAGAGAGAGTAATTATATACGAATATTAGGAGTGTTTGAGTCAGCACCAGTCGCCCACGCACTTGTCGATGCAATCACGTGCCCCGTAAGGAACAATTTCGCTCAGAAATTACAAACGCAAAAGTGGCAGAAGTTTTGTGGTTGGGACACTCTCAATCTTGCAAAGCCTTTCCACTTCATCCTGCTCTGCCACGATCAGCCAGTTGAGGTGTACACGTTGGACATATCCGAGCTCCCAAATCATGGCCCAGCTCGGGGTTCAATGGCTGGCTCATATCCACCCGGCTGCAAAGTGTCGCAACAAGAATACGGCGTCGTTCGCTTCCGGCCGTGGTGGCCTCGCATTGCTCATGAATACAAAAATAAGCGGCTTTCGCCGGAACTTGTTGACATGCACTCCAAGAATAGCGAGCGCATTATTGCTGAGCTTAAAGCGGTGCAAGAAATCCACGCCTGTGTTGGTACGCGGAATCTTGCCAACGAGCACGCCCTCGATATTCTTTATCGTTTATCGAAAGACTCAGACACTTGCGACAGTGGCGATACTCTTCGTGCTCACACCAATCTCATGGCGGTTGTCAAGCTCTACGAATGGCTTGAGCTCCCTTCAGACGGTGGGAATGATGTTCTTTGGCAGGACATGCGACTCCGGCGCTTTGTTGAATCACGGCGAGAAAAGAAGGATCGCCACCAGCCTCCACAACGAAGGCCTGAGAGAGATGAAACTAGCGCACAAGTACACAAGCGTCAGCTCTACGAAACTCTCCAAAAGATTCGACAGGGTAAATTTGAAGTCAAACAGGAAGCAATCCTTGCCCATAAAAACTCGAATTCGCAGCAGAGTGATGAAAGAGCCTCGCTGACAGAAGCGAGACTCAATCGACTTCGCACCCACGTTGCGAACACAAACGCAGATCTTCAAGACCTCAACAAAATGGACATCATATCCGGGTCCTCCGGGCGAGTCTGCCTGCCTGCAGCTCTCTATGTTAGCAACGCCAACTCGAGAAGCTAAGCACCTATTGAACCCCCCTCCCGCCCGCCTGCCCACCTTGGTCAGTCGCCTTATTCTGATGCGCGCGTCGCTAGTAACATATCCCGCCGGCGGGATATGTTAAACGCCGCTTCAACTTGGGCTTCAAACCCAAACCTTGCACGCTAACCTGGACCTCAACACCGCCGCTTGCCCTTCAAAAGGGACCTCAACTCCGCCGCTCACGCCTCGCGGGGGACCTCCGAGGCGCCGCCCACGCCTATGGAGGCGCGGCCCGCCCCAAACGACCCGCCCCAAGCCAGTACAATACTAGTATGTTTCCGGTGACGAGTTAGTGAGCTTAGACCACCTATCATCATCCAGCTAAATAAAACTGCTGGCTGTGGTGGTCCTCTCCCAGCTCGCCGCTTCCCCGGGGTCCGGGGTGGCGCGGCTTATTTTTTTACCCTCCTTCGGCTCGAATGAAGCACCCGCCCTGCCCTACCCTCCTCCATCCCCGCTGAGGTGGCCGCGCCATCCAAGCGCGGTCCGTCGGCCTTCATTCTGGCATCTTTACTTGAAACTGAGCTCAACCTCCCCTTGAGGGAGGATCTTACTTGCTTCCTTTAGCTCAGGCTAGTGGGAGATACGAAAGGCGAAGTGGACGGAAACACTATCCTTTGGCTCATCAGATCTATTCCACCGTAGGAAGACGACTATGTCATAAAGGTTTTGCCGAAAGGGGCTGTGATAATAATCTATGAGCAACCGCGAACCGGTTGTCTCGTGGACTGTGCAAACACTCATATGGGAGACATTTAAAATCAACCCGTTTGGATGCAGCGACCCGTGTCTCTCGCTCATATGCAAGCATGGCGGATTTCAGGTAATTGTACGGTAATCGGAGATCTTAGAGACCAACGTGCCATATGCATTGATCCGGGAGGGGACATCGAACAAATTATGAAACTGTTGAGCGAACATCGCCTCTGCCTGACACAAATTCTTATCACCCATGGTGCACGACCTACAATTTACCCCACATAGCCATGCTAAAAATACAGGGCATCTTGACCACATCCTTGCGGCAGATGAACTACGCCAGCAAACATCAGCAGCCATTTTCATGCATCAGGATGATCTTGTACTCTGGAGCCGCCAGCCCACGTGTTGGTTGATTCCAAGTTGAGCTGAATTGATCCTTCTGTTAGGTGTGCAGGTGCAGTGCCAACATTTTGGAGTTTCCGTACCGTGTGGTAACCTGCCGATTATTGACTGCTTCGTGGCGCACAACGATGTTGTCGAGTGTGGGGATTACATAAAATGCCGCTGCATCCACACGCCAGGCAAATAACTTCGCGAAATGCTGACGCGTTTCACAATATTGAATTGAGAGTAAGCAAATTTGAATCACAACGCAGGCCATACCGCGGGCTCAGTATCATGGCTGGTCGAAACAGCGGAATACGGCCCGACCCTCTTCTCTGGCGACACACTCTTTGCGGGGTCCATTGGGCGCACTACCTGGTTCGGCTACCCTGTCAAGCAGCGCTGTGCCAGATATATCACTAGATCTAGCTCAAGATGATCGCTGTAGGCCATGGACAACAAAAGCAATGCCAGGCAACTCGTGAGCTCGATCCACCGCCGGTAACAGAAACATAACTCCTCTCGGTGTTTGTCATTTGTTAGTTTCTTTTAGGCTATTCGATCTGCCGGACAAGACTGTAGTTATATGTGGCCATGGGGCACAAACCACCATCGGCAAGGAAAAAGCGACGAATCCGTTTGTCGGCGCTGGGGGGGCATTGGAGCTGTGCAGAGAGTGCGCATCCGGCACCTGCCCTTGTTGTAGAGGAGATGCGGCTTAGCATGCCGCATAGTAGACGTCAGTCATATTTGGCACAGAGCTGTGATGGGTGGGCTCTATCGCCCCCAGAACGCGAGTGTGACTATTGAAAGGCTTTCTAATATTCAAAAGATGTCAAAGGCCCGAGGCGACCCCATGATCCACGACCTCGAGGGCAAGCTCCGGCACGGCCTCTTCTGCTTCGCGGCGATCCCGATCGACGGCGAGGGCGCGATCCTCACGCGCAACATCGTCCCCAGGCCCCGGCTGGAGCTCATCCGTGCGCGCAGGCCGGGGCTACTACTGGACGAACGGGCAGAGGACCGGCCGGCCTCACTACGTCCAGGAAGACTCTCCGTCTATTACAGTGCGGGACGCAACTATAGCAGGGTTAGAAAGTATGAAGGAGAGGGGGGAAATACTGGGTGGCTCTGCCAGTGTACCAGCGATTACTAGTAAAAGGGCGTGGACGGGTCCTGAGCGCGGAGCAACCGCCGCTCGACGGGGGCCCTACCGTGATAAACGGCGACTATCGAAGTCAGAACGCGAGTGTGATTAAGCACAATCAAAGTGCGCTTGGCGATAAGCCAGCTACCTAGGGAGCCTACATTCCGCTCTTTGGGCTATGCTACCCTAACTCGGGACTATGCTATCCTCCCTCGGGACTATGCTATCCTCCCTATGCTGGGACGCTCATACTTGCCTATGCTGGCTATGCTAAGTCTGCCTTACTGGCTATGCTCATGCTATACTATGCTGGTGCTTCATACTAGTTAGCATACTCGGATTCTAACATACCGGACCACGTATCTCGGGGATTATTTCCTGACTCTTCCTCAAGTTACCCTCAAGGTCTACTTCCACGCTGGACCATAGGCTCAGTCTACTGGACCATAGTGCACCCCCATAACGACGTTCGTGTCGACCGAGTCCAAGCTCGGGAGTTCCCAAATTCCACCGCGTCTCCGGTGACCGCGCGTTGCCTCGAGGTGATGGGCTCATGGTGGCGTTCACGGGATATGAAGTATGTATCGCTTATTCTGAGCGAAGATGCAGCACACGAGTGTGTCTACAATCTGGGGGCCCTTGGCGTACTCCAATTCACTGACTTGAACCCGGAACAGACACCTTTTCAGCGGCGCTATGTTAGCTACATCAAAAGGTAAATTAACATGCGATCGCACGTGTGAGAAAATTCAGTTTCCCAGGTGTGACGAGCTTGAACGCAAGCTTCGTTACGTGCTCAAGGAGATTCAAGCCTTTGGACTTTCGATAATGTCAGTCTGTAGCGTATTGCTTCTCTCCTCCAACACGTGCCTTAGGCCTGGGAGCTCGTATGATGTAAATGTCTCTACAATGAGGCGGGCAGAGTCGGGCAGTAGTCCGCGGTAAGCCGAGCGATGGCACGATTTATACTTTAGGCTGTCACATGTAGGTCTGGCGCTGCTGTGCTCGACACTCTGGAAGCAGAGCTGGAGAAATACGAAGAGCAACTTTTGGAACTGAACAACTATTCTAAGGAGCTCACAACCAAGTATAACGAGAAGATCGAGTACCAAGAATGTCTTGAAAAAGGCAAGAGCTTCTTCGAGACGGAGGCGGTGACTATATTTTCAGAGGGTGATGTTGTCAACCCACTTAATGATGCATATGGTGCCCCAGTCGCTTCAGAGGATGGCATGCAGCCCCTCCTGGCAGATGATTTTGCAGGCTCAGGTTCGTTTCAAGCCTCATATGATCATCCTAAGGTGAAAACAGGTCTAGCTGGAGGTGGTTTCCAACGTTCTGTAGAGACAGACATGAAGTTCTCATCAACAGTCGGTGTTGTGAATGTCGAGGAAAAGGCACGCTTCGAGCGAATGCTTTTCCGCTCGACGAGGGGTAACTGCCTTGCACGCTTTGCGGAAGTGGAACGACCGATTGCAGATGCAGCATCAGGCAAACCGGAGCGCAAGATGGTTTTCATCGTGTTTTTCAAATCTGATGTGATTGGTACCATCATAAACAAAATTTGTGGGGCGTTTGGTGCTCGCCAGTACCCCGTTCCAGACCACACCGCGCTTGGTGATTCTGCTCGCCTAAACGCCATTGTCCGAGAGACAACTGCGGAGCTTGCAGACGCATTTTCCCCGAGTATATAGACATTATGACCCCACCCCCCCCCCCGGACCCGTAACGTAGGCCGCAATTCGTAGGCGCGCGAAGTGCTTCTGAAAAACCGGGAATTGCGCCTTGCGCTTTGCTCTCGCCTATCACAACGCTATCGCGAATGGAAGGTGATTGTGCTTCGCGAGAAGGCAGTTTACCACGTGCTCAATCTCTTTCGCGCGGATGTGAGCGGCATGCTTCGCGCGGAGGGTTGGATCGTCGCTTCAGCAGAAGCAGAAGCGCGAGCATTGGTCACTAGGACACATGCAGCCATGGATCTTGCCGGTGCATCAATGCTCTCACCAGTTCCAAAACCATGGCCATTGCCACCGACATCATTCGAAACCAACGACTTTACTTATGCTTTCCAGGAGTTTGTCGACACATATGGCGTCCCTCGCTATAAGGAGATAAATCCGGCGCTTTTTACGTCGGTCACATTCCCCTTTCTTTTTGGAATGATGTATGGTGATATTGGCCATGGGACTTGTATTCTCTTGGGCGGCCTCTATCTACTCGCGACCTATCCCACTTTCGCAGCAGGTAAAGCGGCAGGCACGGTGGGTGACAATGAAATCCTTGACGGCATCTACTCCGCCCGTTATATGCTAACCATGATGGGCGCATGCGCTGTCTACGTCGGTCTTGTATACAACGACTGCTTCTCTCTTGCGCTGGCGCTCTTCGATTCGGGCTATCGCTGGGGAGGCGCGGAAAATGGTCTCAGTGGGACCGTGTCTCCTGGAAGTATAGCAAATACAACCGCATCTTACGGCACAGCAAGCAACGTCTACCCGTTCGGCGTTGATCCAGTTTGGCATATTTCCTCAAATGAACTTCTTTTTTTCAATTCAATGAAGATGAAAACAGCTGTCATCTTTGGCGTCGCACAAATGAGCGGGGGCATCTTTCTCAAGGGTCTCAACGCCCTCTATTTCGGTGAACGTGTAGTCTTCTGCCTAGAATTTTTGCCAATGATGATATTCAATTGTTGTCTTTTTGTCTACATGGTGGTCCTCATTTTTACAAAATGGGCTATTGACTGGGATCAACGCCAGCTAATGGGCTCATGTATAGATGGGATTACGTACGACGGACGTGCATGTACCAGCACGGATCCACTCAAAGACAAGTGTTCGCTCAACTTCGGCGGCGACTCTGGCGGCTGTGCACCGCCAAATTTGATCAATCAGCTCATCAACATCGCCCTTAACCCGGGAACTGCTGACGAGCCAATGTACGACGGACAAGGATCTACTCAGTCCGCCCTCCTCGTTGTG